CTCTCTTAAGAGATGTCTGAGCCTTATCAATTGCCGTAAACGTCTTAACGTACAGCCCAAGATCCTTAACAAAGTATTCACCAAATACTAAGCCTTTAGCCGCTGGGCCCGGCTCGTTGGTCGCCATGCTGGTCAGTTTGGGCTCTATTTTTAGGAGAATCGCCTTGCGGCGCTCGGTAGCCATAGCCGCATTGGCGTTACCTACCATGCAGACTAATCTCTGCAACCAGCCTATCGCTACTTCGAAATCAAATTCGCTTTCGCCTGATTGGGCGGACTCCACTAGCTCATAAAGTTTAGTTATGGGTCCCAAAGTATCAAGGAATTTATCTTGGCAGTTTTTGAGGGAAAAATCTAATCCCTTCCTTGGCTTCCAACCAGACTTGTTCAAGAATTGGACCAACTGAGGGTCCACGTCCGATGTCTTTTCCACCGAGTCTGGGAGGATGGGTCGTGGGCATTCTGCCCGTAACTTATTGCGCCCCTCCTTAGATAAAGGCTTTCGCACCCGAAGTGCGAGATACTTAGCGATGTGAGTAGGCGGTTCCCATGCCGCCGAGCGAGGATGACGAAGGTCATCTGGGTCAAATAACGGGTTACCCAGTGGGTCCCGTAAATAGTCGCCCTCGCCAGAGTCAGGTGGCGCAGTGCCCTGAGTCGTACTCTTTTGGGTAGCAACACCTGTTTGGATGTCAGACCCGGAATCCGAAAATTCTGCGCTGTAATGATCCATATAGGAGTCCTCATACTCCTCCTCCACACTCCGGTCCGAATCAGACGAATCCCCATGGGCACGTGCCCGTTTCCAAGTTCTGGCCGATTTTGCCCGGCCAGGGGCTCTAGTGCGCGGTGGTATCGTGCCATCTTTGACAGCCTGAGGCGTGTCATTCGATGCAGGCTGAACCTGCAGTTCTGAAGGGGAGGTCACATGTCTGCTCTTTGCCAACGCCTTACGTCCCGGTTGAGCCACGTTAGTGGGTACCGGGTTGCGTGTGTTCTGCAAAGAAAAGAAGGGTGTCAGGATAGATTAATCCTCCACACCACACTTACAGTTTGGTAGAAACAATACAGAAAATAAACTGCAATTATAGCCCAGTCTGGTTCCTAGGAGAGTGCTTGGGCGGGTAGGAGAAGCCGGAAGAAGTTGTACTCAGCAAATTCCCGCCGAAATCGCGTTTAAAATGGCCGCCGCGAGTGTAGGTTACACTCCCAGCGACATAAACCAAAAAGATGGCCGCCGCGCTACCAACTGCGCATGCGCGACCGGGCCGCAAGGGAAAAAAGAAATTCAATGGCCGCGCATGCGCGGCCGCCCGGAAAAACCACGGAAAGACCGCGGGCATAAACCGGAGGTGCAAAGCCAAGCACCAGAAGCCAGGTAAGCAGCCCCAGTCACCCAACAGGGAAACCAATAAGTGAGGGCAGGGAGAAAACACTCCCCTGAAGCAGCCAGGAAGCACTCTCCTAACACCAGAAGGGTATAGAACAGAAGTAATTAATAATGATATAACAATAACCTGTAATATAGCACAATCTAATAATCATCCAATTAATGTGTAGGAATTAAATACAAATAAATGTATAAAAATTCACAAGAGTAGCAAGATGAGGTACTTAACTTGTCTGAGGGAGCAGCAAGAAAGAGGAGGAGTCAAGGAGCACTACACCTATATGGATTATACTGGATGCTGATTGGTGCTACTGTTACCAGGCTACTGTTATGGTTTTCTTTTTTTCTATGATTCTCTCATACATCCCTTTTCTTGCTGCTGGGAGTATAATAAAGAAAGATAATGCATAATAGGAGCCCCCGTGTCTTTAATAAAATTCCAGTTTTTGTTTACATTTTGTTTTGATCAGAACATGTACTATTGACTCCGTCCTGAAGGGGTTAAATACTTGCCTCAATTCTCTCTCCTGTTGAGTGATACATGTGGTGTAAACAGATGATCTCCCCTGTCCCAACCATCGATGATGTGTGCTGGGATATTTCACTAGAAACTACAGAAGCAGTGCCTATTGTAAAAGAATGATCTAAAAAAGTTGAAGGTTGTATCCAACTAGCTTTATAGTATTGTGAGCTAATTTAGGTTACACCACCAGGTTGAGGTGGCAAAAGGACGTGAATGCCACCATGGTATCACTTGAGTACGGATTAACGACTAGAAATTCTTGAGTGAATTTATTGAAAATGGTCAGAGTTCTAATATAGGAAAGGCTGGTATTGGCAGAGAGTGCTGCGTGTGCCAGCAATCTACCATGTCAATGAGACAGCCATAAGTATACACACATATAACAAGTTTTTTTAATGTGTATTTCGTAAAGCTTGTGTATGCTATTCCTGTACAAAAACCCATATTGTGTTAGGCTACATCTGCTGAGTACAATATCCTGTTGTATGCATTTGCCACTATTCTGTGAAGCTACAAATCTTTATAAGAGACCAAGCTATATCAATTTCTATAGTTAGAATTTTCATAGACGGATTTGATGGCCCTAGGACTCATTTTGTGGCTTTATAGTAATTTGACTGTTGAAATAACTACACAAATACCTTCCATTTGAAAAAGACACTCCAGGTTATCTAATATGGCATATATTGTACCTTAACGTGTGGCCATTTTTCACCAATTTATTTAAAATTTTGTGGTGAAAAAAACAAATTTTTAATTTTTGACATGCATGTTGCATTTTTACTGGGTATTTTGCACATTTCATTTGTTCCAGTGTCATAAAATCCCCCAAATTATGCTCAGTTACCTCAGCATAACCACAGTTATGTATGACAGACACTATTTTGTGAATTTACAATGCTGTGAAAGAGACGTGTAAATTTCTGATTCTTCCGTAAATTTTCATAGATGGTTTTGATAGGGCCGTATTCCATTTTAGAGTATTTTAGCAGGCTGCATATTCCAACTACCCCACAAAGGCATACCATTTTTTAAAGAAAACATCCCACAGTATTGCAAAAGGCATATTTTGAACCAATGCGTTGGATAATTTTTCCGCTAGCTTCTACCAAGTGTAGTGGTAATAAGCTTTTTTGACACACACAGCGAGCTTGTACTGTATATTTTGCAAACCTTATGTGTGCTGCGGCTGTAAAACACTTCATATGTTGCTCAGCTATGTTGTCTGAGTACAGCAATATCCCCATATATACAATTGCCAGGTATGTGTGGACGTTGAAGGGGCACATTTATCTATGAATTTTTATGTTGGGTCCATGTCCCACTTTGGAGTTTCTAAGCAGGTTGCTTATTCCAACTACTCCACAAAGGCATACCATTACTTAAAGAAGACATGCCAGTGTATTTCAAAATGCATATTTTGAACCTTAGCGTGAAATAATTTTTTTCCGCTAGTTTGTACCAAGTGTAGCGGTAATAAGCATGTTTTCTGCCTTTTTGACACACACAGTGAGTTTGTACTATATATTTTGCAAACCTTATGTGTGCTACAGTAAAATACTTCATGGGTTGTTCAGCTATGTCGCCCGAGTACAGCAATAGCCCTGTATGTACCTTTACCTGGTATATGTGGATGTTTAAGGGGCACATTTAAAACACAGCCATTCAAAAACAAATTCAAATTTTTTATGGTGGGTCCATATCCCACTTTGGAGTTTCTTAGCAGGTCGCTTATTCCAACTACGCCACAAAGGCATACCATTTCTTAAAGAAGACATCCCAGGGTATTTCAAAAAGGCATATTTTGTTAGACAGGGGTAAGGGGGATTTTCTAACTAACACTTTTACTGCAGAATTTGTTGGCGCTATATAAATCATTTAATTCCAAAAACCACTTCTTCATAAAAGCGTATAAATTAAACTGTTAATATCTCCTGACTGATTCCACTTCTGCAACTGTCACTAGTCTAATACTATCCTTACCTTTTTGTGTCATTTTACCCCACTCCCTCTAGCATGTAAGCTCATTGAGCAGGGCCCTCTGTTCCTGTGTGTCCAACTTGTCTGGTTATAACTACATGTCTGTTCGTCCACCCATTGTAAAGCGCTGCGGAATTTGACGGCGCTCTATAAATATCATAATAATAATAATAATAACCACACGATACACATCCTGCACCCACAATGGGCACAGGGTAACATAGGAGTCATCCTGGGACCTAATTGACATGTCAATCTTATGCTCCCTGTCATGGGGACTTCTGTCACACCTTCTTAGCTCTGTGTATTCAAAGGAACACTCAATGAACATTTTCTTTCCTGTTGATATAGGGAAAAACAGCTTCCAAAACCAGCAGGCTTGTCGCAAGCCTTGTCCACTTTCAGAAGTCTCTGTTGTGGATCCCTGAGTAAGCGGACACAGCTTCACGTGTTTCTCCCTATATGAGCAGCAGACGTGGAGCTCATAGAGAAAGAAAAAGGATGGCGCCCCAGCTGGGCACGTATGGCACCATAACCACTACAGAAGCCTGTTGTAGTTATGGTACATGAGGTTTCTCTTTTAAAAAAGTGGATATTCTGCTAAGCAGACATTAAGGTGGTGCACTCCCCGCTCACAAATATATATTTATAGTTCATTCTATGTGACCAAAATAACGCCCAGCCCTGATATATGGATACACTGAGCTGCTTGTGACAAACACACTAACTAGACACACACAGTAACACTGCATGGCTGGCTTACTATCCCACACAGTGATGGAAACATCCCGCCAAACCATTATAAATCCCACGGAAAAAAAAAAAAAAATCCTAAAGGAATAAATAATAATAATAGTAATCATACAGTATTTTCTCCCTGTTCTCCCCTCGATCCTGCGCCCGTACAAGAATTACAGCAAACGCAAGCCTTCACGGGGTGTGGAAACGTCACCAGGGGGCGGAGCCAGCCGCACGGAGGTTAGCGCGAGCCAACAGTGACAGCCTGGATACACCACGTGACGTCCTCTCTGTTATCGAAAAGCGAAACCAACCTCGCTAGACTGCTAGCCCCGCCCACTTCCGGCTCACTGACAATCTGCCATCCAATGCGGTCCCGCTGAGAGAGAGAGAGAGCGCGCGCTCGGGCTATGTAGTGTCGTAACGCCCACTGTACCCACAATGCAGTGTGGTTGTGACTCCTGGCTCGGAGGGAGTTGTTGTTGTTATTATAGTTTATAATACACACTGGCAGTGTCCCCCCTGGGTTTGCTGCTTAACTGATGTGAGCGGAGTCCCGTTCAGACAGTACATTAACTGGAATAGGATTGGGAAGTGATGGTCTTGCCCACACGCAACATGGCCGCCGGTGTGCTTCGGTCTGGCTAGTGTCGGGCGGCGGAGGAGGAATTTGAAGTGACCGAGAGGGAAGCTCCGGTGATCGGGTAACGGAGAGTGAGGGCTGCAGGATAGGTACCATGGCAACCCCGCTGGCCAAGAGGAAGTCTGACGGGAGCAAGGTGTTCACTGGCAGACCCGAGCCGAACCCGCAGCTCGTGGAGGGGGCTATTGTCCGGATCAAAATGGAAAACTTTCTGTAAGTCACCGGGAGGGGAGAGTGTGTTCGGCTACACGTGGAAAGTGCTGCGCTGGTGTATGTAGCAATCACATGCTTCAGGAGGGGGACTGGCTCTGCAGGGTCTCAATGGAGTGCAGCTCATACAGGTCACATGGCGAAACACCCCGAGTGTACCGACTGTCAGACAGGGTAACACAGTGACTATGCATTGGGCATGCCCCCTCTGCCCAGTGTGGGGCAGTGTATTGGCCTGTCACGATAAATGTCATGTTAGTTTCCAGCAAACATTTCAGGTTAGCGTTAGCGGAGACTTGGCCCATGAGTAATGTGCAAAGCTGGCGGCATGCTCATACAGAGCAGACATATATATATATATATATATATATATCTCTCCCTCTCCATTTGACAGCTTACTGTGGCATGGTACCAGGGAACTCTGAGCACATTAGCGGTTTTGATGCTCAGACCATCTCCATTATGTTTTTACTGCAGTGGAATGAGTGGACAGGTGTTTATTAGGTATGTTTGGCACTAGAAATTAGCTGGTATTCCAGGTTTGGGTGAGAGGCTTTAGCATTGTGGTATGAAGAGGTCATTAGTGAAACTGCTATAGTAGGACTTTATATATAATCTCTTTTAAAGGAACACTATAGGGTCAGGAACACAAACATGTATTCCTGGCCGTATAGTGTTAAAGCCCCCTCTGGCGCCCCCCCCCACCTTTGCCTCCCTAAATATAGTAAAATCTTGGCATTTTTCACACTCTAATATGAACGCTAACTTTGGCCAGTGTTTGTGATCGAGTGGCTACTAAAAAAGACTGGACATACTTTGAGTTGTCTACTATTGCAAATGGTATGCCATCATGGCGGTAATTCTCATTCCTGGGCTACCATACGGTCTCAAAGGCAACGTAACCAATCTGGCAAATTTCAATGTGACTGAAAAATTTAACATGCTATAGTTGACCCTGTAACTTCCCAAAACACCATAAAACCTGGACATAGGGGCACTGTTTTACATGTGAGACATCGCTGAATACAAATGTTTTTTTTTTTTGGTTTTTTTTTTTAGTACCGTTAAAATGTCATGTAAAAATAAAATATATTCTCCCTTTTTTTATTTACATTTTATTCATATTAAATAGTTTCACAGCTAAATATTTGATGTTAAATGAAAACCCTGTTTCCCCTGAATAAAATATTATTTACTCATAAAATATTTTACCAGGAAAGATACATTTCTCTCGTTTTCAAGTATGTCCTGGGATATATAATTATTATTTATATAGTGCCATCAGACTCCGTAGCGATGTACAATGGGTGGACTAACAGACGTGTAATTGTAACCAGACAACTGGACGTACGGGAACAGAGGGGTGGAGGGCCCTGCTCCATGAGCTTACATTCTAGAGGGAGTGGGTTATAGTGACACAAAGGGTAAAAGTATGGGTATGAAGTAGGTTGTTAGAAAAGTATTAATTGAGGGCTTAGTAGGTAAATTTTAACAGTTGCAGGAGAGGAGTCATGGAGGGTGGGGGATGAAAACCTGCTAACAGTTTAATTGATATGCTTTCTTGAAAAAGTGAGTTTTCAATGATTTTTTGAATGAGTGGAGACTGGGTGAAATTCTTACGGAGAAGGGAAGGGAATTCCACAGAAGAGGTGCAGCCCTGGAAAAGTCTTGGAGGCGAGCGTTAGAGGTGGGAATACGGACAGAGGATATACGTAGGTCTTTGGCAGAGCGTAGGGGCCTCGATGGGACATACTTGTGTATTAGGGAGGATAGGTAGGAGCAGCATTATGTAGGGACTTGTAAGCAAGCACCAGAATTTTAAATTGACCCCTATATCTAACTGGAAGCCAATGCAGGGACTGACAGAGTGGGGAGGCGTGAGAGGTGCGGGCGGACAGGAAAATGAGCTTCGCCGCCGCATTCATTATAGATTGCAGCTATGCAATCTGGGTACACGAAAGACCACTGAGAAGAGTATTGCAGTAGTCCAGGCGAGAGAGAACAATAGCATGGGCCAGCACCTTAGCCGCATCCGGGGTTAAATAGGGGCGGATGCGCGTTATGTTTTTGAGATGGAAGCGACCGGATTTGACAATTGATTGGACATGAGGAGTGAAGGAGTCAAAAATAACACCCAGGCAGCGAGCCTGCGAGATAGAGGTGATGGTAGCACCATTGACTTGGAGGGAGACAGAGGAGTAGTAACACTTGAGGGAGGAAAGAC